TCTCTTTCCACTCCCTCTAAGGCTCCAATTACATATATTAGACCTTTATACTATTTCTCATGTCTTAATTCTTTTTTGTATTTTCTACTCTCTTTCTGTGATTTTGTCTGGGTATTTTCTTTTGTCTTATTTTCCAGTTTACCAAACCTCTCTTCAGTTTTGGTAAGCCTACTGTTAAAGCCATCTGTTGAGATTTATTTTTATCTATTTAGCTTTATTATTAAAAATAATTTTTTTAAAGTAATCTCTACACCCAACATGGGGCTCAAACTCACAACCCCAAGACTAAGAGTCCCATGCTCTACCAACCAAGCCAGCTGCGTGCCCCTTGTCTATTTATTTTAAATTTTAGTTATTTCATTTATCAGTTCTAAAATTCAATTTTTTTTATAGTTTCTGGTTCTCCAATAAAATTCCCCATATTGTTCACTCATTATAGTTTGTCTCTGATCTTCCTAAAACCTGTATCTTCCATGAGTCTGTTTTCATTATCTATTTTCCTTTTGATTTCTGGTCATGCAGTCATGTCTTTTGGATGCTTGGTAATTTTTGTACATGACAATTTAAGGCTCAGAATAATGTTATTTTCCTTCAGAGAAGATACATATTTGCTTCTGGCAAGTTCTGAAAGGGGCAGATCACCTTCATATAAGCAGGGATTAAGCTGATTAGAAGCTAAGTTTCAATCTTTGTATAGGCTGACCTACATCCACTACACTCCTTCTAGGCTGAAACTCTTAGGGAGTCCCAATGAAAAGTTTGGGGTATTTACAAAGGCCCTTCCTGCTGATGGGTACTGGACTCCAGTTTTTGTCCCTTTAGTCTTGTAAAATTGCTGGGATCTCAGCGAGCTTCTCCTCAGCCATTGCTTTCAGCTCAGCTTCTTAACCTTTGCTTGCAACTTAGCAAATGCTTTGAGGGGAAAAAGCAACACCAAATGTCAGGCTCATCTCTTTATCCTTCCCTTGTCTATGATTCTAAGCTTCTTAAGTCCTTTCTGCCTTGGCAGCTTCTGATGTCTTCAAGCAGCTTTTTAATATTGTGTCTAACTCTTCTGGCTGTTTTCAGAGGGACGGGTGGTCTTTAATAAGCTGGTACATTAATTTCAGAAACATAAATCCCCAGGTTTATTATAATCTTGGGGCCTGTTATGGATTGCATTGTGCATTTCTCCTCCTACTCCACCCCCTGCCAAGATATGTTGAAGTCCTAATCTTCAGTACCTTGGATGTGATCTTATTTGGATATACATAGGTAATCCAGTTAGAATATGGTCTTAATCCAGCATGACTAGTGCCCTTATTTAAAAAAAAAAAAAAAAAAAAAGGAGATCTGAACATAGTCACAGACACACACAGCAGGAAGACGATGTGAAGACACAAAAGGAGAAGGCAGCCATGTAACTGGAGTGCAGCATCTAGAAGCCAAGGAACGCCTGAACTACCAGAAGTTAGGAGAAAGGGATGGAAGCTTTACAGCATGGCCCTGCTGACACCTTGATTTTCACTTTCGACCTCCAGAACTAGAAGACAATACCTCTGTGCTGTTTTAAATTACCCAGTTTGTGGTACTTTGATAAAGCAGCTCTAGAAAACTAACACAGGGCCTTTTTACTTTCAGGTATGGGATAGTTACTTTCATGTGCCAACTTGCTGGGCCATGGGGTGCCTAGATATATGCTTAAACACTATTTCTGGCTATGTCTGTAGGGGTGTTTCTGGATAGATTAACATTTTAATCAGTCGAGGAAAGAGGAAAGCAGATTGCTTTCCTCAGTGTGGGTGGGCATCATCCAATCTGCTGAGGGTCTGAATAGAAGAAACAGGCTGAGGAAGGTTAAATTCGCTCTTTACCTGACTGTTTGAATTAGGACATCAGTTTTCTCCCACTTTAAGACTAGGACTTACACCATCAGCACTCCTAATTAAATTAACTCAGGCTTTGACTTGAAGTTACACCATTAGTTTCCTGGTTCTCAGCCCTTGGACTGAGACTGGAATTACACCATCAGCCATCTTCAGCTTGCAGATGGCAGATCGTGGGAGTTCTTGGCCTGTGTACACCAATTCCTTATAATAAATCTATATCTATATAGCTACCTCTTCACTCTATTGATTCTGTTTCTGTGGAGAACCTTGACTGTATTAGTTAATACAAGGTCCTACTCCTTTAAGAATGGTCTTTCCCTAGATCTTTATATGAGTGCCTCCTTTTCAAGTGTTACCTTTTAGAGATGTCTCCCCTAATTTTCTAAAATGATTTCCTCTCCCTGAGTTATTCTCTATTATCTCATTGTATTTTACATACAACACTTATTACCATCTGAAAACAATTTTATTTGGTTACATGCTTACTCTCTGTCTTTCCTATCACTCTTTTCGCCAGCTCCAACCAGACAACAGAGTCCTTGAAGGCAGAAACTCATTCCAGTTCACCACTGTCCTTTCAGTGCCTAGAATAGTATCTGGCACTTTCAGGAGCCATATTTGTTGACAAGTGATGGACTGCTTCCCCATGTCCTAGGCAACAGAGTGCCTTATCAAACTTTTTGATCTTTGTTAAATTTATAGGTAAAAAATGGTGCCTTATTTGTAGTTTTAACATACATGAGTGAGATTGAGTAATTTTTTGTAGGTTTGAAAGCTATTTATATTTTCCACTTTGTGAAATACATATTTCATCCTTGCCTATTTTTCTAAAGGGTTATTGATCTTTTCTTCTTATTTGAAGGAGCTCTTTCCCTCCCAAGGAAATTAGTCCTCTGACATGGTTTGCAGATGTTTTCCCTTAATTTATAGCTTTGCTTAAGGTACTTTTTCTTGCAATGCATAAAATGTTCATATAGATGAGTTTACTAATTCTTTATGGGTTCTTACTTTTATTGTCATGTGGCCTTTTCTATTTTCTCATTGGTTGAAAGATAGCAAGACTGGAGTAATTCCCTTGGATCTAAAGATGGGTGCCATATGGTGAAGATGGCAGAGCTGCTCTACCAGCCCAGGATCCCTAGGCTATTACCCAAGAAAGACATAAACTTCTGTCCTGTTTACGTCATTGTATATTTGGGTATCTACTTCAGCAGCTTATGGTATGCGCCCTAACTAATACACCAAACCATCACAATCTGAGGAACTGGTTTGTTTCACCTACCTTAAATGACAAAATAATTAGTTGTTTGTTTTCTTGTAATAGACTGAGTGTCTTTAATTAGCAGTTACACTTTACTCTAAACTGGTTATATGTTTTCTTTTTATTAAAATTCAAAGACTGACTGGTCATCTTTCAAAAATTATGAGAACTCCATTTAGTAAAGTTTTCAATATGAGTTGCAGCAGCAATTAACGCAGAAGGAGAAGGTAGGATGCTTTACTCCTATCTCAGTTAATCCTCATAACTTTTAGAGAAAGCAATTATTATACTCTTAGGTTAGATGAAGAAACTGATTTTGAGGAAGTCAGAGAACTGCCTAAGGACTCCCAGTTAATAAGCAGCATATCTGGGACTCAAACCTAGGTCACTATGATGACATACACACTTTCACTGCATTATCCTTCCTTTAGGGAATCCTTGATGCAATTATTATTATTTTTTAAAATATTTTTAAAATTTATTTATTTGTCAGAGAGGGAGAGAGAGAGAGAGCACAAGCAGGGGCAGTGGCAGTTAGAGGGAGAAGTAGGCTCCCCACTAAGCAAGGAGCCCCATGTGAGACTCGATTCCAGGACCATGACCTGAGCTGAAGGCAGACACTTACCGACTGAGCCACCCAGGGGTCCCCGTTATGCAGTTATAGCTGCTCCAATTTAGACTGTTTTACAGGTCTATTTTCATTAAAGACTTAAAACCAATAAAATGTATATATGTATTTACATCTTAACTGAGTAGATTAAGCAATATAACAAAATATAGCTACACACAACACAATGCTATCAATTCACTCAAAAAGTAGAGAAAGTAAATTAAAAATACAACTTTTTATCTGATAAAGAAGGACTAAGACTGGAAAGGAAAAGAACAAGGCAAGGGACTCTTGCTTTTCATCCTAAGTTCTTCCCTTTATTTTTGAACATGTATATGTATTATACCGGTAATTTAAAAAATGTATATAAGATGTAGGAGCACCTGGGTGGTTTAGTCAGTTAAGTGTCTGCCTTTGCCTCAGGTCACGATCCTGGGGTCCTGGGATTGAGCCCCACATCATCGGGCTCCCTGCTCAGTGGGGAGTCTGCTTCTCCCTCTCCCTCTGCCTCCTGCCTTCGCTGCTTGTGTGATCTCTCTTAAATAAATAAATAAAATCTTCTAAAAATGTGTATAAGATGTAACATAAAGGTTACCTTTTAAAGCCAATAGTTTTATTCACCTGTAGTGGTTACAAATGGATTCCCTCTTTTTCACCCCCAGAAAAGGAGGATCACATACTTCTATATATATTAAGTTGATCCACCTGAGATTACCATCTTTGTAGGTTACTAGGAACATGCCTCAACCTAACGTGGAAAGGAAATGATATAAAAAACAAAACAGGGCCTTGGAGTTAGAAAGATTTTTGTTTGAGTCCCATTTTGCCATTTCCTAGCTATGTGAATTTGGGCAAATGATAACCTTTCTGAACTTGAGTTTTCCCGAAATTACAAAAAATAACACCTGTTTTCATGGTTGTTTTTAGACATAATATATGTAAAGTTCCTCAAATAATGCTTAACAATGAGAAATTTAATGGATGGCAGGATAAAGATAGATAGAACCCCCCCCCCAAATAATACAAATAGATCAATACTTCACTGTGTATTGATAGTGAGGTAAGTTTCTTGAGTAATACTTTATGACTTCAGGTTTTCTTAAATCCTATTTGTCACAGTAATTTATATTATTGCTGCAAGTGTGAAGTAGAATTACATGTAACAGTTCTAACGATGAAGTAGAGCTAAATAAAGTGAGTCAGTGACTACGGGACTAATTATGGTTTCTGAAAGGGGAGAAGTAATTGGCTATTTTTATACCTTCCTCACAGATACTCTGTAGATACAAGGATCCAGGATGCCGGTCGCGGCACTTGCACTCATTTTGCACATAAACGAGAACTTCTTCCTCCAGTGAACACAGTTTGCTTGTACCACTTCCCTGAATGGGGAGAGGGGAGAGAAACAATTAATTCCTATTCAACACGGGTTTAAAAAAGCACACACACTCTTTCACTCAGGTCTAGAATGCAAAAGTGACAGATTAAAACCCAGTATTTGGAAACACGAAGAAAACAAACTTCTAACAACGTGATCTGAAAATCTCTAGAAGGTTTTAATTATCCACAGAAACTTAAATTTTTTAAAAAAAGTGAAATTACTTATCAATTTACATCAATATAAATTGAAGCTTCACTACTTATTCATTTAGCACATAATACATATGTATTTCTGGTGTGCTGGTTATGTGCTAAGTGTCTGAGATATGAAGACGAGAACAACAGTGTTCCTAACCTTATAGGGCTTGTAGTTTACAGTTAGTATCAGAGACAGAAATGTAAACAAATACTTATTCTGAAATGAACTACTGCTATAGTTTTACTCGTGTTCCAGGCATAATAGCTACAGCAGCTACCACTTGCTGTCAGCTTACCCCATGGTATTTAAGCTCACAGCAACCCTAGGAGGTAGCTGGCATCCACTTTATAGATAAGAAAGATGAAGCCCAAGGAGAAAAGTTAACTCAAGGTCATTTAGGCAGTAAGTCCCGGCACTAGTATTCAAACCAGGACCGTTTAACTCAAAAGCCTACTTGTCCACAAAGGAAAGTTTGTATTTTCCCCACAAATCTGCTCTTTCAAGTTTCCAGGCTTTTGTACCTGCTGTTCCCGCTACTGTTTTGTGTAAGCGTAGAGGGCTTGGCCGTCAAACGGAAGGACAATTATTCCTCCAACAGTTAGAAAAGAAAGGCAAAGGGTGAAAATAAAGAAAAAACTGGAGAAACCAAAAGGGAGAGGCAAGAGATCCCAGGCTGAATAATTTTTTTATTTTCTTAGGAAAGGAAAAGGTGACGTTATTTCTATAGAATGACAGGAGATGATGAGTGAGTTGAAAATTAAGATAAAGGCTGAGGACAGTTAGGAATAACTGATGTGATGAATGTGATAGGCAACTGGTAGCTGCCTCAGTGAATAAAATGAATTTGTTCTGGGACCAATCAGTCTGGTTTTATGGATTTGTCTATCAACATACAGAAATCCAAGAACAGGAATTACAAAGCGAAAAATCATTTAAAAACCATAATCAAGTATGTTTTTATATGTGGTATGCACATGCATGTTTACTTAGACACATATAAATAGACACACAAAGAGGAGAGGAGGGCATGTATTTTATTATAGGTTTCAATGTGATAACTTTAGACATTTTTTTTTTTTTCATTAGGAACCTTTAGTGATTGGGGCATCTGGGTGGCTCAGTTGGTTAAGCGTCTGATTCTTGGTTTCAACTTGGGTCATGATCTCAAGGTCATGAGATGGAGCCCTAAATTGGGCTCCATGCTTAGCAGGGAGTCTACTTCTCTCCCTTTCCCTCTTTGCACCTCCCCCAACTTGTGTACATTCTCTGTCTCTCTCTAAAATAAATAAAAATCTTTAAAACAAACAGGAAAGGTATATTTACAAAAATATTGATCTAGTTTGGCTAGAGAGTAGAGGAAGGCAACATTAAGTCTGGTGGGCTTGGGAAGAGATTAAAAACTTAGCACAGCATCATAAATGTGAGCTTTCAGATAACTGAAATTATAGCGTAAAACAGAGATGAAGAATATGTTTTCATAAAAAATGTGACATTAAGGGGTGCCTGGGTGGCTCCGTGGGTTAAAGCCTCTGCCTCCGGCTCGGGTCATGATCCCAGGGTCCTGGGATCAAGCCCCGCGTTGGGCTCTCTGCTCAGCAGGGAGCCTGCTTCCAGTCCTCTCTCTCTGCCTGCCTCTCTGTCTACTTGTAATCTCTGTCAAATAAATAAATAAAATCTTTAAAAAAAAAAAAAAGATGTGACATTAAATCTTAAAGGAAAAAAAATACACTTCCATAACCTTCTGTTCCCATAATGAAAGCATATCAAAGTATAAATATCTCTGGTAAAGGTAAATATTTAAACAAATACAGAATAATGTAATATTGTAATAATGGTGTGTAAATTGCTATTATGCAGTATAAAAGGTCCTTCTTAAACTCTTCCAAAAGATAGAAGAAAGTACTTTGAAATTTATTTTATGAGGCCAGCATAACTCTGATACCAAAGCCAAAAATACCACAAAAAAAAAGAAAATTAAAGGCCAATATCCCTGATGAACACAGATGCAAAACTTTTAATAAAATACTGGTAAACTGAATTTCATAACACATTACAAGAATCATCCTATGCAAATCAGTGTGATAAACCACAGTAAAAGAAAGATGAAAACCAGATGATCACATTATCAGTGCACCTGGGTGGCTCTATTGGTTAAGCATCTGCCTTCAGCCCAGGACATGATACCAGGGTCCTGGGATCAAGCCCTACATTGGGTTCCTTGCTTGCTCAGCAGGTAGCCTGCTTAAGTCATGATCTTAGGGTCCTGGGATTGAACCCCGTTGGGCTCCCTGCTCAGAAAGAAGTCTGTTTTTACCTCTCCCTCTGCTTCCCTACCCTGCAACTTGTGCTCTTGCAAGTTATCCCTCTCTCAAGCATAAAATTTTAGAAAAAGAAAGAACTTCAATAAGCAATGTTACTTTATACCTCAAAGCTAGAAAAAGAACAAGCTAAGCCCAAAGTTAGAAGGAAGAAAATAATAAAGATTATCACAGACATAAGTCAAATTAAAAAATAGAAAAAAAAACAAAGAAACAAAAATAAGAGTTGACTTTTTTTTTTAAGATTGTATTTATCTATTTGACAGAGAGAGAAAGAGACAACAAGAGAGGGAACACAAGCAAGGGGAGTGAGAGAGGGTAAAGCAGCTTCCTACTGAGCTGGGAGCTCAATGTGGGGCTTGATCCCAGGACCCTAGGACCATGACCTATGCTGAAGGCAGTTGCTTAACCAACTGAGCCACTCAGGTGCCCCAAGAGTTGATTTTCTGAAAAAGAAATAAACAAAATCAAGGAACTCATAGCTAGCCTAAGAAAAAAAGAGAGAAGACAATCAAGAATGAAAAAAGAGACATTAAAACAGATCCTTCAGAAATAATAATAAAAAAAAAACAACCAGAAGGGACTATTATTAACAGTTATATGCTAACAAACTAGATAATCTAGAAGAAATCAATAAATTCCAAGAAACATACAACTTACTAAACTGAACCAAGAAGAAACTGAAAACTTGAACAGATCAATAACAAATAAGGAGACTGAATCAATAATCAAAAACTTCTGAACGACCACCACCACAAAAAGCCCAGGACCAGGTAGTTCTTGGTTGAATGTTACCAAACACTCACAGGACAATTTTCACCAATCTTTCTTAAGCTCTTCCAAAAAATAGGGGAGTCTGCTTCTCCCTCTGCCTGATGCTCCCCTTGCTTCTCTTTCTCTCTGTCAAATAAATAAAATATTAAAAAAAGAAAACGACATGATCACCTGAATAGATGAAATTAAGCACGCTTTTTCTGCAGCATCCACTCATGATAAAGACTTCCAACAAAACTGGTATAAGAGCAACTAACCTCAATACAGTAAAGACTATATATGAAAAGCCCACAGCTAACATCATAATCAGTAAGGAAAGTTTGAAAGCTCTTCATCTAAGATCTAGTGCAATACAAGGATGTCCTCTCTCACCATTTCTATTCAATATAGCACTAGAAATCCTAGCTAGAGCAATTAGTCAAGAAAAGAAATAAAAGCAAACAAATCAGAAAGAAAGAAGTAACAATAGCTCTATTTGCAGATGATATGATTGTATATATAGAGAACACTAAAGACCCCTCCCAAAAGCAAAATAAAAAGAAAAATATCTGCGGTATTTCTATACATAAACAATGAACTACTTGAAAACAAATTAAGGAAACAATCCCATTCACAACAGCAACAAAAAGAATACCTAGAAATAAATTTAACCAAAGATATGAAAGACTTGTACACTGAAAATTATATAACATTGATGAAAGAAAGTAATGAATATATAAATAAATGGGAAGACAGCCTAAGATTAGAAGAATTAACTGTTGAATGGTCCATACTACCCAAAGTGACATACAGATTCAACGAAATCCGTATCAAAATCCCAATGGGATTCTTTATAGAACTAGAAAAAAATAACCCCAAAATTCCTGTATAATCACAAAAGACCCCAACTCAGTCTTGAGGAAGAACAAGGCTGGAGGCATCATAGTTTCTAATTTCAAAATGTATTACAAAGTCACAGCAATTAAAAAAATATGGTATTGGGGGGGGAACCCCCAGAAATATAGACCAGTGGAACAGAATAGAGAGCCCAGGAAAATTCCACTCACTCACACTCAACTGATCTTTGACAACACTGCCAAGAAAACATAATGGAAAAAAGAAAGTGGTGTGAGAAAGACTGGTTATTCACAATAGAAGAATGAAATTGGACTCTTATACTACATACAGAAATCAATACAAAATGGATTTAAAAACTTAAACATAGGGGCGCCTGGGTGGCTCAGTGGGTTAAGCCTCTGCCTTCGGCTCAGGTCATGATCTCAGGGTCCTGGGATCGAGCCCCGCATGGGGCTCTCTGCTCAGCAGGGAGTCTGCTTCCCCCTTCTCTCTCTCTGCCTGCCTCTCTGCCAGTTTGTGGTCTCCATCTGTCAAATAAATAAATAAAATCTTAAAACAAAACAAAACAAAACAAAACAAAAAAACTTAAACATAAGACCTAAAACAGTAAAACTATTAGGAAAAAATAGAGAAAAAGCTTCTTGACATAGGTCTGGGCAATGATTTTTTGGTTATAACACCAAAAAGCACAGGCAACAAAAGCACAACTAGGTAAATGGGACTGCATCAAACTGAAAAGTCTGCAGAGCAAAGGAAATGATCAACAGAATGAAAAGGCAACTTATGGAGTGGGAGAAAATATTTTCCAACCGGATATCTGACAAGAGGTTAATGTTTCAAATATATAAGAAATTCAAACAGCTCAATGGCAAAA